CACCCGGCTTATCCTCTCGTTATTGGTTGCACGCATCCGGAGACGTCGATGCAGCACTCACGGGTCAAGCTGGTGTAGGTATCATTCTAAGCTCCAAGGCTGAGCCATCGTTGGTTAATTGGATTCCGGTGAACAGCCGTTTATGTGCAGCCCGTTTGACGACATCAGCCAAGGTTGATTCACGAAGTAGTACAAAACGTTGTTTGTGATTTCCGTTTATGCTCCCACCGACTGCAGTTCTAATGCTGTCAAGGACACATTCTATCCCGAACTGAACGCGCTACTACGCAGTGCTACTAGTTCAGATATTATAGTACTTGCAGGGGATATGAACGCACAAGTAGGGCGTCTGAGCTCTTCAGAAGCTCAGCTGGGTGGTAATTATGGGCTTAACTCCGTACGGACTGACAATGGCGAGCGTCTGCTGCAACTGTGTGCGGAGCACCTGTTGTTTCTTAGTAGCACTGCTTTAAGACACAGTGGGCGCCGAAGTGCCACTTGGCGTCCTCCTGTAGCTGGCCAGCGATGGACCCAAATTGATCACATTGCCATAAGTTACAGGTGGCGTGGTTCCATTCTGGATTGCCGCTCATACTGGAGTACCTGTGTCGACTCTGATCATGCCTTGGTACGTTGTTGTTTCTCCATGAACTTTACCGAGAGGCGCAGCAAGTGTGCCCTACGATTCGCAACGGAGAAATTGTCTCAGTCCTCGGTCAGGCAAGCCTCTCAAGAAGCACTGTATACCGAACTTCTAATGACACTGGGCTTCAGTAGAATAGGATCTCCGCCGTCATGCACGACGCAGGAGCATCTGCTTGTGGCACTATCCATCGTCACCGCACCAGTCACTGGATATCCGAGAGGTCGGTGAACCTGTTGGAATCTAGAATAAACCTCCCGGCTAGCTATGAACACAATGTGACCAGACGGACTATTAGGCGCGAACTAAAGCGGAGACTACGTGCTGACAAGGTAGCCTGGTGGACCAGTAGGGCTCAAGAAATGGAGAAGGCAGGAGCAGTATGCAATTACCGCAAGCTCTTCCAGCTGATCCGCACCACTGGTCCCAGAAAACCAGGCGTCAGTGAGACAATCAGAGACCGCGCCGGTGTGCTGATACACAATAAGGAGCGCCGTATGGCTCGTTGGGCGGAACACTTTCAAGATCAGTTCAGCTGGCCCCCTACTCCCGGACCTCTTACTACTCAGGTGATGCTGGACGAGCCATGTACGTTTAGTTTAGAGCCTCCGTCGGAGGCCGAGGTCCAAAACGCGATCACAGCCCTCAATCGTTTTCGTGCCGCTGGCCCGCATTCCCTCCCACCTGCACTATTTAAGGATGGAGGTGAGTTCCTCTGCAAAGCACTGACCCTATTCGAATGTACCTGGAAGGAAGGGAGTGTGCCGGCTAATTGGAGCGGATCGATTATAGTGGCAATATACAAAAAGGGCAGTCACACAGACTGTTCTAACCACAGCGATATTAGCCTAACGCCAGTTGTAACAAAAGTATTGGCCTCCATTATCGTTCGTCGCCTCACTGCGGAACGGGAATCTCGGATTAGGGAAGAGCAGACAGGTTTCCGCACAGTTCGTGGCTGTATAGAACATATATTCACTTTGCCGCAGGTGCTAGAGCAGCGCCACGCATACCGCAGATCGACAATAGCTGTGTTCCTCGATTTCAAGACTGCGTTCGATTCAGTCGATCTATGCATTCTGTTCGAAATACTTGCGCGGAAAGGTGTTCCCACGAAATATGTGAACATCTTTCGTGCTCTATACTGGAACATTACAGGCCGCGTCAGGGTCTACGGTGTCCTGTCGGATAGCTTTCCGACCACAAGTGGCGTTCGTCAGGGTTGTCCGATTTCCCCATTTTTGTTCAATTTCGTCGTGTATTCTATCATGGAGTGTTCACTTGGGGAATCTCACGATGTAGGCGTTGAAGTGCTGCCTGGTGAAAGGTTAGTTGATCTTGATTATGCGGACGATATCGTCTTGCTTTTCGACAATGTTGGGGCGGCCCAATCAACCCTGAATAGCCTGTCCAGAGTGGTCCCATTATGTGGTATGCACTTCGCACCTTCGAAGTGCAAAGTGTTGCTGCAGGACCACCAGCCACTTGATGACCCCTTGACGCTTGCTAACGAGGAACTCAAGGTGGTTGATCATTTCACTTATCTTGGCAGCTGCATCAGCAACGATGGGCGCATAGAAACTGACGTCAGCTCAGGCATTGCAAAGGCCAGAGCTGCCTTCTTGAACCTGCGGCATCTTTGGCGACAGAAGGGAGTTTCCCTTCGTCTGAAAGGCCGGGTATACAAGACCACAGTGAGGGCCGTTCTGCTGTATGGTAGTGAGACTTGGCCCCTTCGGTCTGAAGAGCTGAGGCGCCTTCAAGTCTTTGATCATCGTTGTCTGCGTAGCATTGCTGGAGTCGGATGGCACCAGCGTGTCCGCAACGACGATGTGCGTAGGCGAGTACTAGGTGGTGATAATCATGCTAACTCCCTAGAACAACAGATAGCACTGAATAAGTTGCGTTGGCTTGGGCACGTGCTACGTTTGCCTGGTCGCCGCTTACCTAGGAGGGCCTTGTTTAGTCTGCCAGGTGTAGGGTGGCGCAAGGCTCGAGGTGGACAGAAGTTGACTTGGCAACGGGAAATAAAGACACTGACGACCAAACTGGGTACCGTTGGTCCGTCTCGCCTTCCGGGCTGGAGTCCACGTGACTCGCCTTGTGCTTGGCTCGAGACTTTACAGGACATGGCTCGCAACCGACACCAGTGGCGCGTCTGGTGCCGTCTCCTAATTGGATTGCCTGTTTAAAGTGTGTTTGGTGCTGAGTTATCTGTGGCATAATGGCTGATTATGACGCGTGGAAGTGAAAGCCGCAAGGAAGCTGTCTCGCCGATGTCGCCTTTGCACGATAGCCAGCTGTTTGTGACGGTATGTTGTCTACACAAGGTGTAGGCGCCTTGACCCTGAATGTTTGCTTAGGGCATTAAGGTTTTCAGGTAAGTCCCCCTTCTCTCTCTCTTCTAATTCTTTATTTCATAGATCCTCATGGTTGTATGGCAGCGAAGCATCAGTTCAAATGGCTGATGTACTGCTGTTGATGATGATCATGATCATGTGTTATCGGCTGCTCATGATTATAAAAAAGGACCTTTCTCTGTCTGCGCTATGAAATTTCTATATTAAGCACACAGTACCCGTATGATGAATAAGTTTCAGCAATCCTTGCTCACAGCGAATGGTTGAGTGAGCACACCGCCCTTAAGAGCAATTCCTATCATTCATTTTATTTTTGTTCAAAACAATGAGTAGGAAACTTGAGATTGCTTCACCTCATGTCCCCAATGCAATAATAGTAATTATGGACCGGCAAGAAATAAAGTAGCAAGATGAAACGCTTAAGGGCCAGCGACGAAGGATCGAATTCAAAAGCTTCACTGAATATGTTATGTCCGAAACACGGTTGGTTTGGTTGATTACAGAATCCTCATCAAGGAAAGCAGTAAACACCAACCAGACTTGGCCTTTCGGTACTCTTTGCCATACCGTTAACTGACAATCTCACTCAATTTGGTGTATGATTGACAAAGAACAAACCGCAATAACCGACTCCCTAGCATAGGGAGCAAATGACTAATCCACTGGAGGGGATTCGAATTCAAGTGACACTTTTGGGACACTAGAGTGCAAAGTGGCGAACTTAGCCTTGCTAACTCAGTGCTCCTACCAGATCTTGCGCAGGCATCACGAACACGATCAATTTCTACTGTCTTCAGTGCGCAGCGACCAAGCCTCTAATACGTGAAATAACACCTACTGCACCTTGATCAATCAACTTGTTTCACCATCTTCACAATTGATGGAGGCTTTGAAAGGCGGCGCAAGCTTTAGAGACACAGCATAATCTCCGCGGTGACCTAACTACCAGGGGTAATATAGTTACCCCAATGAGTAGGCGGTTCTTTCATGATTGTGAGAGCTAGCGAAGAATCTATTTCCGCAATATTACGCTTCGCTTTTTAGATCCAATGCGCGAAATCACGAGGTGGATTCAGGTATCGTCAATGTATTATGCGAGGTCATCATCATTGGCTAATGGTTAGACACCATAGTTAGGCTACGTGGCAATAGCAAAACAGCAGCAAAGACAATGCAAAAATATTGAAGTGCTTTTTTCAATATTATGAGGTGAATTGTAGACTAGACAAGCGCAGCGGAAATGCAGCCACCTTGGTTTTGGATAACGAGTAATCGCTCGGCACTCTTTTCTTGCACAATTTTCATGATAACACAACTGCCACCTATGGCACTGAACTCCATTCGCAGCTGTAATTCAACAATCCTTCTATCTGTCCCCCTTTTGCTCGATCTCCTCTGCGTGATTGTGACAACGGCATCCAGCCAACTACCAGCTGTCTACTACAGCTGAACCGCTTGCATCGACTAGTCTTTATCATACGAATGCTACTTGTCCCCCTTCGATAAAAATTTCGATCTAAATTACATGCTGTGGCGAAACCGCGAAGTGGTCAGTCAATGATTTGTTATAAAAGCTTGGCTTGGTGAGGCTGGTGCGTACCGTCTTTGTGGACTAGAGACCTCGGGATGGGCCGCATCAGTGGTTGAATACACTATCCGTTATGGCCCAATCGCACCGTCAGTGGCGTAACATCTTGGTGTTAATATTCTTTTTCGACCAACTTTACTCATATTCCGCAATCTTTGTACTCTGCTTTCGTTCTTTTTTATTTTCCCACTCTTGCTGCTGATATTGTTCTGGTGACGCGAGTGGTGATAGCTGGATCCATCTCACTTCCATATTGGAATCGTAGTCGTTTAGCTGGACTGAACGAAGTTTTTGTTTTCATTCCAGCCCCACAGGCCGTTACTGTCTGCTTTTTGCATTGAACATGAAAAAACTTGGAACTCTGTCTTGACGCATACTGTCCTACACTGCATAATTTGCCTCGGGAGCTATGGCTGCCGTAATTCCGGAAATTAAAAATTCTTGCGAAAAACCTGAGCTTATTTTCAAAATTGATGGTTTCAGTTCCGATGTAAACAGCGTCTTGTTCTTACCCGGGAAAGAGTGCATTATTACCGGCACTGATGACAGGTGGGTTAATTCGGGCGACGCTTACCTTCTCCAGGTCCTTACGAGTGTGGATGAAGAGAGATTCTAGCAGATTCTGGCCTTCTGCTATGGAGATCTTACCAAGTGAGTAGGAAATTGATAACTCTCTCAAAAAGGCCCCGTGTGCTCTCTTTTTTACAGTGTTGAAACGAGTTGCATTTTCGCCGGTTTGGATAATGGGACGGTGATGGAATTTGTTCTAGCAGAAGACCTTAATCATATGAAACACAAAAGAGATTATCTTCCACACACTGCTAAGGTTACCGGAGTGATTCACGTGTTTGACAGAAAGTGGCTATTGTCAGTGTCTAAAGACCAAACGGTTGCTTGTTACTCCACTGAAACCGGGAAATGCCTCGCGGGTCATCAGCTTGAGGCTCCGGGAACCTGTTTACAGTAAGCTTTACATTTTGCTCTATCTACGTCAGATCGCTTGTTTGGTTCCCTCTGTTTATCACCTAAGTCGCATTACCGTTTGCTTTTACTGAATCGGTTATAGCTCTTCTCATCCTCCTTTGTCTACAACATTTTCAGCCGCAACCTATAACTGCTATGGCGGATGTAGGTTTCAACCTGTAGCTCATCATCGCTCCAGGTATTTGTGTCTGTGTGATCTGGCGATATCCCTCGCTTGTGCAACTGATAATGGCAGTGGAAAAAACTGGACTATCTCTGTCTTACGCTGCATACATTCAAAAACTAAAGTCACACAGGTTGAAGTAAGATAGATGGGGCGCAATGGTGGCTTCCTACTTTTGGCATTGTTGATGCATTTCCTTGACATTGTTCGTATCGCTGCTGCGGATTAAGGGATAACTATAGCTCTCTCTAGTTCAGGTTATTGTGTTCGTCTTTAGACATCCGCTTGCACGCTTTTTTCCTTGAATGTTTTCCTACACTCGTGCTAAATAACTCCTCTTGAATGTATTTTAAGGTGCGTTGGTGCACAAAGAATAGGCTGGGAAAGTGCATGGTATTCCACTAAACTCATGTTACTATGCTGTAGTAGCATACTGTTTCAGGTATCATGCCTTCCTCGAGGAACCTACACCGGAACTATTATTCAGCTGCAGACGCCAGTAGGAGTGTTTCCAGCGTTTGCCATGTAGTTTTCCAGTCACCTGTTCGAGCTTGTTTGGTTGTAGTGGACCTCGTAGTATCCGTATATTACCGCCGAGGTTTGCATGGCAGTGAAGCATGAGTACGAATTGTTGTTGTGCTACCTGCACTGTCATGTTGCGTGTGCGTCACCATACTTGTCATCCCTCTAGGCGCAGGCGTCCTGTGGCTGTCCCCGTGGAGGCCACAGTGGCAGGCAACTCCGGACACAGATGCCGCCAATCCATCGGACTTAACCAGATGACTTTATATTTGGTGTGCACAATGCCCCACCGTCCTAGCTGTTTTGCCTACAGCTCAATGTTTGCAACATTGTAAGTGTCCTTCCCACTTGACTAGAGGCCAAGACTTCATGTGTTGCGGTTGATCATCTGCCCCCGCCGTCCACCAAGTTAGAATATTTTCAAGGACATTCATAGGTTCACCTGCCAAACGGAGGAAAAAAATGCAATGCACTACGATAGAACCATCGCCTTTGAAAAAGTGATCTGATAAATTCTGTACCCTGTTTAGAATTCACAAAACGGCACTTTTAGGGTGAAGTGTCGCTGGTTCTGCGACTCCGCTTATTGGTGACTGCGGATTCTTCTCACATTTCGTTATGAGCATATCACTTGCAATTCTGCATGAGCTGAGATCTCTTGTTCGATTCTGCTAATGTGTGGCCGCTTCTATTTATCCATAAATTCAGGTATGACAATGGTTCTCGTTACATTTTTGTCGGAGATACCAGTGGTGGCATCACATTATTGGGTTTAAATGAGTCCAGCGGTCAGGTTGAATGTCGGACTATCCGTGAACTTCGTGCTCAAGAGCAGACGATTACGTCCCTCTCTTGGGATCGCGTAAACTCCCGGTTGTTCTCCAGTAGCGCCGATCGTACAGTGATCCTTTGGGATATTGGTGGTGCGAAGGGTTTGGCATTCAAGCTACAGGTGAGTCGGACGTGTCACTACCTTAACATCATACTAGCTTAGCACTAGAATTGTTTTGAAAGCACATTGCATTGGAAACAAAGATGTTGGAAATTCCGCTATTAGGATTACCTTAATTTTAGCTTTGCAGCAGTACTAGGCATCGATGTACTACTGCCTGTGATAGTGACTTGAGCGGTTCGGCATTGTTTTTTCGCATTTCATTCCTCATCGACATAAGTTGCTATCTTAGCTACTCACATAGCACGATATCACTCCAGCATTGATCTTACTTCTGAATCCGTTTTTGTCTCAACAGGGTCATTCAAAGGACGTTTCCGCGGTTCTTTGGTGGGCGGACGGCAATTCCAGAAATACGGGCGACTTATCTATGAATGCGGGACTTGCTATATCTGGCGGACTCGATGGCTTACTTGTTTTCTGGCGCATGGATCCATCACGCACAGGGTCGCCACCTTGGTGCAACAGCGATGTTTGTCAGATTTGCGGAACCCCCTTCTTCTGGAATGTGAAAAAAATGTGGAACGTCATGGCGGTGGGCGTCAGACAGGTGAGTGTTCCGACTGCATCTTCTCGCGGCTCTTCACACCTCATTTAGAGGCTGAAAAATGCGGGTGATCTGTGTTAGGGTAACTTATACCTGACCCATGAACTACACTGGCAGGCACTCTCCAAGTGCTTTCAGGCTTTGTGGTCAAACCAACTCAGTTTCAAGATCAAATTCCTTCACAATTTAGCCATGAGTGGTACAGCACACTTTGGGTTACAAGGCCACAGCCGAATTAGTGTACAGCGCGAGTGTTTCGCATTGTTTGTGGCTGTTGGAGATCAAAATTTGATGCTCAATGGTTTGCGTCAACCCACGTACCCTTGGTCAAATTGGTGCAAACCTATTAACTTCTACCTTTGGTTGATCGTATTCGCAAGTACGTAACATATTACAATCAAGCGAACTTTCAAGTACCCCGCTGTTTTATAGGTGAAACTATTGTCAAAGAGTAAAGGTAGGACGTTTCTTGCCGAATTATGTCTTAAGTATGCCTAAGTGCGCATTGTGTACCGCCGCTGCACGTAGTTCGGTGATATCGCGGGGCGGCTAACCAATGAGGTAGCGGCCTCGGTTGTTGAACAAATTGCCCAAAATGACGCAGATGCGAACTGAACGACTCGCCTGTGTACAGTGTTTTTGCACCGGGCTATTGGCTTTCCAACTGTCTTGCTTAACTTTTATCGTACTCTGTTTTCGTTCTTCATCAGTGGTAATTATTACTATCATAGCGACGTCAGTTATGGCAACCGCGCTTCGGCGCTCTGACCATAGCCGTCTGACTGAATCAAATTTAATGCATTGATTCGGATCCTCTGCAAAACTACTGGCCGTAATAAGTGTAATTCGAAGTTTCGTTGCAGTCACAACCGGTTTATGTCACTTAGCATTACTTTAATCGAATATGTGCTACCTCCTCTTCAGCATCATTGTCGTCGGTGTGGCAAAGCTGTCTGCGATAAGTGCTCTCCATTCCGATCTTCTTTGCCGACGATGGGATTCGAAAGGGACGTACGAATGTGCAACGTCTGCTCCGGCCTAATTACTGATGCAGAGTAAGTTTAACAGAGATGTTTTCAGGGCGTGTGTAAAATCTCTGTGCGTAAACTGGATTCCCTGGCAGTGCTTGATTTTAGAGCCTCTGTTGATACTCCTCTTGGGTACGCACGGCATATATGTAGAAATAGAGCTCAGTCGTTATTCTATCCATCCCGTCCATCCTCATTTGCTTTGGTTACCATGCAGCAGCGCATCACTTCTCGCTCACATCTGGTGGGGCACCTAGGCGCAATACGGAAAATGACAAATTGGTGTTTGCAGAAGTAATTTCCTAGTGCCACATTGAATTCTTCGCGCCTGCTCGGTCATATCGTCCAAGTGCCCATTGACCGCCTCCCTAAGTATTCCCTATGTGCCACCACCTCAGGTGGTAAAGTGAATCTGCAAGGTGACCAGCCGTCGAAGTGGTGTACTAGTGTGAAGAGGTTGATCAAGAGGCGTGGTGAGGTTGGTGCGTACCATCTCCTTGCCTGGGTGAGTCATCATTACACAGTAGCCACTGGTGAGATACACACTCTAGCTAACTGTGCCGCAATACAAAATATAAGATATATGAAGTAAGCGAGTGAATGATCTCAGCAGTCTAACAACTAGACAAAGAGCCAACAGAAAACCATGGAGATCAGAGGATAAGGGAGAGTCATCGCGTCATAATCATCGTGGCATAGTAGTTGAAGGTGAGCAACACACTTCAGCTAATATGCCACAGGAAGAAAGGAACATTTTGACAAAAAGTATAACAAAACATTTTTAGTTGGTTTTTCGCACGCTGATTTTTTTCTTTTTTGTCATTTTCAACGTTTGAAGTATTAAACATGTGAATCAATACAATTCTTCCACTGATTTCGGTTGCGGGCCATGTCTTCAAGAGTGTTAATCCATTGGCACTCCTCATCTTTGGGTCCCCATCCTGGAAGACGTAAGGGTCCAACAGCGGCTAGATACGACGTCAGCGATTTCATGTGTTGTCGCCATGTAGAAGGCTGACAACCACACGGTCGCCTCCAGACAGGTCCTTGACGAGCAAATAGAGCGCGACGCGGTAGACGCTCAGGTGCCATGCGTAGGACGTGACCGAGCCATCTCAACTGGCGCAACAAAACCAGTTTGTTGAAGGGAATACTCGCATTCCCCAAGATGCGACGTCGAACGTCATTACTATTAACTCGGTGTTGCCACCAAACACGAGCGATCCTCTTTAAGCAACTGGCATCGAATGCAGAAAGACGACGCATGTCTTCTATGCGAATCGGCCAAGACTCGCACCCATACAGCAATACTGAGCGAACTGACGCACTGTAAACACGGCCCTTTAGTGAGGATGAGACATCGTGATGACGGCACAAGTGCCTCAGATTGACAAATGCTGATCGAGCTTTAGCGATTCGAAGAGAAACTTCTATGTTAATAGTGCCGTCAGCAGAAACACAGCTCCCAAGGTAGACGAAACTATCTACCTGTTCAAGTTGTGCACTTTCAAGAGTGAGCACGGGAGCAGGTGAAAGCCAATCCTTGAGCAGTACTTTACACTTCGATGGGGCGAAACTCATGCCATACTTAGATGCTTCAATCGCCAAACGATCCAGAATGAGTTACATACTCTGAGGATCGTCACCAAGTAAGGCAATATCATCAGCATAATCTAAGTCGGCCGCGCGCTCACCCGGTAGAAGCTCTAGGCCAAAATGTTGGAAACCTTCTAGAGCATTCGACAGAACGTCTTCGATTGCGAAGTTGGTAAGGAACCGGGACATAGGGCAGCCCTGTTGCACACCGCTATTGACAGCGAATTGCGAGGAAAGAGTGCCATAGACCCTCACTCTGCCGGATGTATGAAGTGCTCGTAAGATGGCGGTATATTTCTCTAGCACCCCATTCTCTAGCCAGCAACGCCATAAAGCAGGTCGATCAACGGAGTCAAAAGTGGCACGTATGTCTAGGAATGCAACGATAGTGCGAATACTAGACACTACAGAATACAAAACTAAAAAGTAAGTGATATAATGCCACATGTCATATTACCCATGCGATGTGAGATCGTTGTTGGAGTGGAAAGCCAAGGGACGGGACAAAGAAACTCAAAACACAAAGGCCATTGAGTTTGCCTCCTAGCTGTGTCAGCTAGTGTATCCAACCAAACGTGTTCATCATTCTTCGGACTCCAGCCTGGCAGTCGGGAAACATCAACCGACGCCAAGCTCGAAGTAATGGATTTCATTCCGCCTGACCAAGTCATCGCTTGGTCATCCCTCCTCTCCTCCCATCTCTACTTTGGGCGAGCAAACGACACACATCGCGGAAGTCTGTGTGCTAACATACGCGACACTTGATCCAGCCATCGGAGCCTGGTGCGTAAGATAACGGTGCTGAGCGATTTACTCGCTCTTCATGTATCAAATACAAGACGCCGAACACCCTCGTTGCTCACACGATGCTCCCACCAGACATGAGCTAAGCTGCGAAGGCAACGATGATCGTACCTAACTGGCCTCTATGTCTGTCGATCTCATAGGCTAGGTTTCGCAACCGTACATGAGGGCTGAACGCACGGCTGCGATATAAACTCTTCCCTTCAGGGAGAGTAATATCGCGCCGGCCGTACAAGTGACGGACATTGGTAAAAGCGCCTCGGACTCTTGCTATACGGTTTGTGAAATCATACATCAAGCCCTGATATAGCTATCTAGATACCTGTATTTCTGGTCTATTTCTAGCTGATCACCACTAAGGCCCTTAGGGAAGGGAAGAGTTTATATCGCAGCCGTGCGTTCAGCCCTCATGTACGGTTGCGAAACCTAGCCTATGAGATCGACAGACATAGAGGCCAGTTAGGTACGATCATCGTTGGGGCTGTCCCTACCAACCTTGGAGGAGAACTTTGCTTTTCGAGGGTGCAATACATAGTCCTAAACGATTGACAGCGAGTGCCAATCTGTCCAGTGCTGCTTGGCATGTTTGGGAGCTGTCACCGATGAGGGTAATGTCGTCCGCATACTCCAACTCAAGAAGTCGTTCACTTGGGAGCAGCTCCACGCCTTGCAGATCGTGTCCAGTGAATGCCATTTCCATGACTTCGTCGATGACGAAATTGAAAAAGAATGGTGACAGCGGACAAATACTGTCTCACATCGCTGAAGATATTAAAGGGCGGCGGCAGTTTGCCACAAACCCTTACTCCACCAGAACTACGTGCGTACGGCGCCCTAATAATATTTAAGTATTTTTTAGACACCTTTTCTGAGCAGGCAGTCCCAAAGGGCACACCGATCCACCAAATCGAAGACACCTTTAACATCGAGGACCACGACTAAGGTAGGTCGCCAGTAGATATTGTAATGTTCCAACAATAGGCTAAGGTGGAGATGTAGTCAACTTAGCCTCGATTTCGGCGAGATCCGGCGTGCACTTCATGAATCTGACTTTCGCGTGTGCCAATCAGTCTACTGAGCACGGCAGAGGCAGTTGAGATCAGACCGATCCTTCTGTGATTGCCGCAATCCGAGCGTGTCTCCCTTGAAAATTGGGACGATAATCTAGTGGCTCCAGTGTGTCGTGACAGTCTCCTGCTCCCACAGCTTCACAAATTGTGAAATACATCTACAAGATTAGGTCCCCGGAATTTGAAAAGAGTCGGAGGAAGTCCATCTGCTCCTACGGGCTTGCCCAGTCTCAACAGTCTTATGTTGCTCTTCCTCGCGTGAGGACGGCTCAGGGAGGACAATCAATGCTCAAAAAAGAAGGTAATTCAATTTGATTTAACAGCTTTGCAAATTGTTCGACATCAATGCCCACCGGATCATAGTTGTATACCGTTTTAACAAAATTGAATTGCACCAGTGTCTCATTGCCATATAACTACTTTACAAGGGAAGAAGAACAGAAAGGAACGAGAGGTATTTGGTTTTAAACGTGAATGCTCCAATCAGAGACTCGGTCAGTTAACCTCCGAAGAAAAGGCGTATCAGCTAACAACTCCACCTCACTTTACTCGTCAATGAATTCATTTCCGCTGCAAATAAGCAACTGGCTCACTTGGAGCTAACAAACAACATAGGTTTACCTAGTTGAGCGCGCACATGTGGCACGTGTGGATGCCACCGCTTTTTATTCCATCCTATTTGTGTTTACCTAAGGAACTAAACCAGTCGCGTCATCACCACGTAGTACTCGCCTGCGCATTCTATTTTCGAGCTGGCAACATCGGACAATCCTTACGTTTGTAGTATCTCACCCCTATTTGGTTCGTTTTTAGTTACCTAGCGCATGGTGCAACGCGCTTTTGCAACGGGACAATCGATCTGACGAGTTTGTTCAACCCGTCAAGACACGTGTTGAAGGCTGCAAATATGTTAGAAAAATAGGATTATATGTCAACACAAACCTGCGTGTCTGTTCCACTCTCACTGTTTTTGCATGTGCTTTGGACTGTCTGCTTCGTTCTTTCCCCAAGTGCATGACTGAACAAGCAAGTTCACGGATTTGAACTGGACTTCCACTTTAGCACTGCCTTTTTACACGTTTCTCTGGTATAACAGAAGCGAGGCATAGTATTTCTTTTTCACGATTATCTAATTGATTCGGATTGTTGCGCAATGGTCCAGGTTTCTCACCTCTGTCCAAGGTGTTGATGATCGGTGACCCCCTCCTCACTCAATTTGAATATGTAGCTATGGAACTGCCATAAATAAGACAATACTCTCTTGGTGTTTTCAGTCGTCGCAGTTTGGCCGTTATATTTGATGCTCGCCATCCAATAATCGGCCTTTCGATTGAACCCAGTCTGAAATTACTCCTCACCGTTGGTAAAGACCGTGTGATCAAAGTGAGTCCCCATTCGTTGTACTTGCTTCTCTAGCTAGCTCATTTCCAACTATCGCTTGGTTCCGGTAGTTTGTACCTAGTCCATTTGACACGGGCAGTCATATGTGGTGATGAATCCCGGTGCCTTGACTAGTGGCAACGTTCTTTGTTTTAGGATAACAACAGTAGGAGTAAATAATAAAAATAAGGTAAGCGATCAACCAAATACAGTTACACCAGGAGTGCCAAATGAAAGGTTCAAAAGCCTAGTAGGAGGAAACCAGATGTAAAAACTTCACCAATTGTTGTACCTCGCCAATTTTGTTGTGCAACGTTTTGCATTGGTACCACTTCCTAGTTGATCCTTGCAAACTGTCTTTCGCGTAAATTCGGTTGATACATCCTGTGAGCTTTGACCGCCAGGGTTTTTCACCCCATTTGTACCGAGACGAACACGGACTCGCACGACTAACCACGAGACCGAAAAAAGCAAAGGCCTTCAGCGAAAGCACCTTTACAAGTTTCAGCAAAAGGTGACACGATTTGTACGCCTTCGTATTCGTAACACACCTAGCCTTCTTAAAGGGAATTAAATATCAGAGTGACGTAATTTGCTACACGATACCACTTAATCGACGACCTAGTAACAGCCTCCGGGAGAACGGAAGTAGTTGTCATTTGATGATATGTCACCGAGAAGACTGCGTTATCGCCACAAAGCAACAGTACGGTACAGTTAGAGATTGGGAAGAGGCTTCCGGCGAGAAACTGGAACGATTAGGTCTCTACAACGCAGTCTTCGAAACTACCACAGGGTTAATAGTTGTAAATGTAACCACTATAACTTCCTCCGTTTTGGCACACGGCACGAATCAATCGACTTTTCTGTTGGGGATGTGACGACCTAAGCAGACTCAGCTCCTCGCTCTTGTCTAGCTCTGGACGCCATGAAAGCATTTCGGCCTGCGTCCACCCCCTTGCTGTCACTTAGCTGCGGTAATACGAAGTGCCGTTCCACGGCAGAAGAATTTTCCTGAGATTTCACCCAGACAACCACTGGATTTGGCACTTCGCTTTCTAAGCCTTACGAGCATACACTAGTTTAGCATATAACCTTATCTCCACATATGCATCACTCTTATTTTCCACTTGCCTGATGCACGTGAACTCAAAATCTTGTCATCATCGGGACACTCTTTAGATCTGGGATATCAGTTCGCTGTCCTGAACACCACGATTTTGGAGAGAAGCTATGGCAAGACCTAGATGCTCCAACTGGATTCCCCCGCCCCTGAAAATGGGTGGACTCAGTGACAAATGAGGCGCATTTTTGATTTTTGTCATTCTGTTTATCTTTTACAGCCCATTTACTTGAAGTGTGCACATATTTCTGACCACGAATTATGAACCAATGACAGTGCTTTCATAACAAAACATGATGAGTGACAATTATTTTCGCTCATTTATTGTACATCCTGGCTGTTAGGGCAAACGACCAGCCTGATCGCGTCCCGTCATCTAAGGATGGTGAGCGCAGAAACCGGTACGGAGTCTGTTTGCGGTGGGACAACGTACCAAGACCACGCTACCAAATCCACCGACCACGAATAGCTGCAGTGCGGCGCTTTTTTAGTAAACCAACTGACATTTTGTTTATCCTCGATAGAATTATGCAGTTGCCGCTTATAATCGCGCCATCAGAAGGATAAGTAGATCGTCGTAAGCTCCTTACTGCCAGTTGCTGCCTGTG